CGACAGTAGCAAAGAATGGGAAGGAGGAAACAGAAGTGATTGCTGGAAGATTCTTACACTATTACGCTAGACGCGAAGTGGAATAATGTCAGAGGTTAATTTGAATGTTAGTTTTTAGAGTAAAATAACCCAGAAATCGGCCAAATTTGCCAAAACCATGTTGATTATTTGGGGCTAATAAAGATTATACTCCAGAAATATATTTTTGGAAAACACGGGAGACTACAAAGATTTTCTAACGAGTCTACAGCATGCTTGCCGCGAAAGGACGTGGTCTTTTGTTTGTTTTTCTGCTTTATAATGGAATGTGAAGCTAACTCTCTCACTACTGCTGCTACATAAACATTTCAGTTCTAATGACACAACTTAAGGATTGTTCACACAAACACTGAAGAGCCAGACAGACCTACAAGTCCATCGCAGCGATGCCACCACCCACCAGCCATAAGACCCTGCGCCAATGACTAACACTTGAGCTCAAAACAGAGATGCCAACAGGGCCTCTCTCACAGGATCGTTGAGAGGATGAAATGAAACAGTGCTTCTTAAGCACTCACCAGAGTCCTTGGCACAGAGGAAACACTAATAAATGGCTCTTCTTGTTATCAAGATTGTACCGAAGGAAAAAACAAACACTAAAAATATTTCAAAGTGTTTATTATCAGGAGGCATACAATATTCAAAGAACACTACAAGAAGGTACCACCCTTGAGTGAAATTATTTCTCATTGTTAACAGTTAAGCCATGTATCCATGTATTTTATGGATTAAAAAGAAAGTCTAGGGCTTCCCTGGTGGCGCAGTGGTTGAGAGTCCGCCTGCCGATGCAGGGGATGCGGGTTCGTGCCCGGTTCCGGGAAGATCCCACGTGCCGTGGAATGGCTGGGCCCGTGAGCCATAGCTGCTGGGCCTGCGCGTCCGGAGCCTGTGCTCCGCAGCGGGAGAGGCCACAGCAGTGAGAGGCTCGCGTACCGCAAAAAAAAAAAAAAGAAAGTCTAAAATTCTCCTGTGCCTAAAATTTTGGAGGGCATAGGCAGGGGTCTTAGGTATAAAAGAAGTCAGCTCTCTGGTGTGTTAGGAGCACTGAAGGATAGGGGTATCTCGGGCCCTGGCAAGCGAGCTCACTTCTCCTTCCTTCCTGCAAAGCAGTTCTTCTGAAAGGCAGACTTGTGTTTAAAAAGAAAATTATGTGCACATTTCAAATTCCTTTTAACATACTATCAACCTAAATACTTGTGCTTCAGTGTTTTATATTTTGAAAAATTGCATTCAATTATGACATGTGAGAACTCCACAGACCTGAAAGGAACAGACCATTATCCCACGGAGAAACCATATTAAGTGCTTCGTTATGGAACCGTGATACATATTTCAAAGGACATGATTCTAATCACCCTCCTTGTGATTTTCTTACCCATCTGAACAGTTCCGGGACCCAGCACTTGGTGGCTGAGCTCAGGGTGACCTCAGTGCCTGCTCACCCGAGACTCACCTTGGTCTCTCTGGAGAGGGGCTGGGGCCACGTGGAGGAGGTGTGCGGGGTACAGCTGGCTTCGGTGCGATGCTGGCTGCAGGGAGAAGGCCATGGATGATGTGTTTCTGCACAAATGAAACCCAGCAGAGGTCAATGGGATCATCTCTGGGGACTGCGACCACACCTCCCTGGGCCTGGAAGGGAACACCTGCACTGGTCACCCAGGGATCTAGTCACACCAGGAGGTCCACTCCACCCCCTGCCATCCTCAAGCCCCATCTGGCCAGGCACACGTGCCCATGCAGGGAGCACCATATAGCTGCCCTCGGTGGGGACCCTCTGGCCCTTCCTTCCTCAGAACAGCTTCCCTGACCATCCCGCAGAGTCACCCTCCAGCACCCCCAACTGGTCTCACAGCACTGCCCCTGATGACCCTACTTACTCACTTGCCGCCCCCCCGGCTGGATGGAAGCTTCCTAAGAGCATGCAACCTTCTTGTCTTTATCAACCCTGGAACTCTGGCACTTAGCACATTGTCTAACACCTGGTAGGGGCTTAATAAGGATTTTAGGTAGTTTATCTCAAAGATGCAGAGTAACAGAAACTAGTTCTCACACACAATGAAAGTCGGAGAATCCTGCTTTAGGCAACTGGGAAGCCCTGAGAAGTTTCTGAGTGTAACCCAATCTTCATTTCCTGTGCACCAGCCATTCATTTGTATCTACTAGAGGCAAAACGCCATGACAGCATTTCACGACAATGAAGAAATCTTGTCCTCATCTTTAAGGAGGGACAGTACAGAGGAGAAACACCCAGATATTTATAATACAACACAGAATCATGGAAAGTGCCAAGGGAGAGGTAAAGAAAAGGGCTGAGGTGGCCCAGGGAGGGAAAGGCTCCTTCAGATCTGGGGGCCAGCAAAGGGACCGCTGATGTCCTGTTGGAGAAAATCTCAGAGCATTTAGACTGGGTCTTCAAAGATGGCCACTGCTCTCACATTTGGGAAATGCGATAGAAAGGCATTCCAGGAGGAGGGAGCAACAGAAACAAAGGAATGAAGCAAGACGTTAGTGGCAGTGTTCTAGAAATAAGCACTCCAGTTCGCTGGAACACAGAGGCATCTGAGTTGGAGAGGCTAGAAAAATGAGCTGGAGTCAGAGTGGGGACTGTTTCCATTTAAGAGTTTTGATACCAGACTAAGGAGATCTTGTGACCTAGTGAGAAGCACCCACTGAAAGTAGCCCCGGGGGAAGACTAATCGGGCTGGGGTGAGCACAAGGTACGGGGGCGGAAAGGAAGGTGCGACCAAGAGGAAGAGCCCGGGGTCTGGGCATACTTCAGGAGTGAGGGACGAGCAGGCCTTCCAAATGTCTTCTGCAGCGCTCCCACCCCCCACCCCCAGTCCCACGTTCATGGCCAACCCCAAGAGCAGGTATTCCAGAGCAGCCACTGCTGTATCCCACCATTCTCCAGGATATACACTTGTCTGCCGCCTCCCCCATCCCCCACTGCCTGGCAGATGCTCAAGGACAAGAAAGGTTTTTCTTCACCTTTGAATCCCCAGGGGCTGGCATCCAGAAGGTCCTTCAAAAAGGCCTCATGAGTTTTGTTTATTTATTTATTTACTTTTTGATAGAGTGAATCTCCCATAGTATGCTGAACATTTCTCCCCTGTACCACGATAATCATTTCCTAACTATGGTTCTCCTGCCTCTAGTCTCTAATAAAACACAGGATGATCCTACCTCAACCCAGCATGAAAACTCTCGGGTTGACAGAAAAATGTCCTCTCCTGGCACAGAAGGCTGCTAAGGCTGCTATCAGTTGGTTCCTATCAATGGCCCCAGATTCTTTTCTGGCAGGCCCTCCTCATCCCTACACATGCTGTAGCACTCAGAATTGCCTTCCTGTTCCCATGTAGCAAATGACTCTTTGTCAGACTTTTGTACATGCTGTTTTCTCCACCTGGAATTCTATTTCCTTACTCCTCCCAAGGCCCAGGTCAACTCTCTCGGCTGACTTTACTGCCCCTTCCGGTACATGCCTCTTCGGCACTTTTTCCCTCACCATTTTGTGTTGAATGACTTACAGGTTTGTCTACCCTTTAGCCTTTGGGGCCATAGGCTGTCAATCAATTGTGAATATCTGGCACACGCACAGTAGGAACTCAGTAATACAACAAAAACCTCAATAAAGATGCTGAGTTAGCAAAACTGCACTGGAAAAATATGCTTCAACTATGCCTTCCTTGCTTCTCAACATCCACCTGTCTAAAATGACTTCAGCAGGTCATAGGGCTGAGAACAGGAAGCCAAGTCAGACATGCTTTCTGATCCCAATCTGAAATGGAGTTCAGGAGTACCCTTATCAAAATGCTTTCTCTGTATTTAAAGTATTAAGTTTATGGAGAACTGGATGTAAGTACGTCTGGGGTTTCACCAGGGAAGTATGGAAAAGGGAGACAGGAGCAACGCCACTGCGGTGGGGGGCAGTGGTTACAAAGAAGTATCATAGGAGGAGGGGTCAGAGAATGAGCCTGGAAGTGTGCGCCCGCAGTGCCAGAGTGGCCATGGTAAGGTCTGCAGGGAAGCATTCCAGGCAGAAGAAAGAGCAAAGACAAAGGCCTGAATAAACCTAAAGGTGGGAATAGCTGGAGCGTCTGTGTGTGTGACTTGTGGGCAGTGGGCACGATCAGAATTGCATTTTTAAAGAATCCCTTTGGCTGCTTTGTGGAGAACGGACCTAGGGGAAGGGCAGGAACGGAGACCGAGAAATAGGGAGGAGTTGCTGCAGCAGTGCAGGTAGACGATGGAGGGCGGGGTGGGAGCGGGGACGGCTGCCAGATGCATTTGGTGGGTGGAATCTATGGAACTTGCTGGTGGGGTGTACATGGTGCGTGGCGGAGGAAAGAATCAAGAATGACTTCCCACAGAGGAACATTCAGTAGTGGAGCAAGTTTGTGCCGGCAGGAGTGAACTCCCGACACCGGAGCGAAAGTTACAGGTGAGACAGGGCGAGTCCTATCGACTGAGGCCGACACTGGGATAGAGGATCCGTGTTCCAAACACGAAAATTCAGGGCTTCTCGAAAGAAAAACCAATTCCTCTTGTGCCGCTACCTTGCCTCCATCCCAAATCCCAACCCCTTCCCACTTAACTCCCGGCCCCACGGGCCAGAGCGCAAGCCGGGCGCAGATATACTTACAAACTGCCTCTTGCCGCCTCTCCGGACCCCCAGGAGCATTCTTGCTGCAGGGGTTGGCCAGACCGGCACTGGACTGACAAGCAGAACTCACAGCCGAGTACCACTCCCTAAAGTGGGCCGCCTCCAGCGGGCCTAGCCCCAGACGCCTTTTGTACGCAACGGACTTCGCAACAACCACGTCTGCCATTGGCTCTGCTTTTCCCAAGACCAATCAGACCGAAGGTTACTGCACACCCGTCGCTCATGGCAACCAGCGAGTACCTCTCAAATCCTCTCCAGGGCTGAAATTGTGTGCGCTGTTCATTCTCTTATTGGCCAGTCACGTGTCGATCTCTGAGTCCATAGGCTATCCGGCGCCAGAGGAGGTAGAGGGCGGGCAGGATGAAGGACTTGGAGAGCGCGCAGGAGAGAACCCGGAAGTGGGGCGCCGCAGGTAATGTCGCGGGAGACCCAAAACGGCCCTGGCCGGCTCGGCCCCCGCCCTGGACTGGATGGAGGAGCCACGGCGCGGGGGTGTCAGGGGCCAGGCAGGTGACGCAGATGAGGGACGGGGCTTCTAGGACAGGAATTTCCTGGTTCTTAGACTTCGGCTAATAATCAAGCCTCTTAAAGAACACTCTGCAGACGGGCCCCTGCCAAAGAGGCCGGGGCTGGGAGTGGAATGCGGGGCCGTGTGCCGGAGAGCCTGCTCAAGTGCCGTCTTGTATTCCGCTCACTAGATCCAGGCCGCCGATGGAAAGGAACACCCCTGATGGCACAGGCCCCATGCACGTGCCGTTTGGGCACATTGTGGCCAATGAGAAATGGCGCGGGTCGCAGCTGGCACAGGGAATGCAAGGTCGGTGGGCTCCCTCTACTAAAGCCCTCTGTCACCTCAGCCCACTTTTTAAAAACGTTCTGCCTATTGCCGTCTTTTCATCCAAGGCTCGCGGAACTTATTTTCTTTTCTGTATTTTAAGGAAAAATTAAACTCGTTTTTGAGGATGGCCTGACACCGGTAGATTTTTACTTGTCTAGCAGATCCTGCATTCTTTATATCACCGAAGCTGATTTGGTGGCAGGAAATGGCTACAGAAAGAGACTTGTTCGGGTTAGAAACGTAAGTACTGAATTAAAGAAACAAATTGAAAATTGACTTCTATCCCCCTGTCTATCCCTTGGAATAATTTATATAAAACCATTGGCCATTCCAAGCACCCTTGGATAGCTTCTTAGTCTTGAATGGAATTTTGTTACAAAATAGTTTCCTGTCTTTTTTTTTTCATTGAAGTCCAGTAAACTTCAAGGGATTGTAGTAGTTGAAAAAACGCACATGAGTGAACAGTACTTTCCAGCCGTACAGAAATTTACTGTGCTGGATCTGGGGATGGTGTTGCTTCCAGTGGCCAGCCAGACGGAGGCGTCCTGTCTCATTATCCAGTTGGTAAGTACTGATTCCTACTCCTCCACAATAGCCCTGTGTTAGGATTCTTGACTGACCTTCCTGGACCTGTTACTTGACAGACAGCTGCCCTTATTATAGGTACAATCCATCAGGTCACTCTCTATCAGTGACTGGTTTGGTTTCTAAAACCTTTTTGAGGAATTTAAGTTCAGAAGCTGCCTCTGCAGCTAGCTGAGCTTGCCCCCCATTCTAGGCAAGCATGTAACGAAGCAAACAAGTTGGAGACCTGATTTTAGCCTCCCAGGCTGTGAGGACTCCATCATGCACTATTCTGCACTTAGGCTGGTGACATTGGCAACAGATTCTTCGCCTCATCGACACGTATCTTTTTCTTCTTTTTTTTTTTCGGCCGGGCCACGCGGCATGTGGGATCTTTGTTCCCCGACCAGGGATCGAACCTGCACCCCCTACATTGGAAGGGCAGAGTCTTAACTACTGGACTGCCAGGGAAGTCCCGCCATGTGTCTTTTGTCTGCACTTCTGTCTGCAAGTTCATGTGTTGGTTTTTTTTAACCTAGTGGTTTTCCATATAGTTCATCTTTTAATAATTTTACTGATGCCTGAAAAATTATATTCATGGTATATATGAGAATATTTGCAGTGGTGAATCAAGCTGAACCAAATGGAAAAACTAAAACTAAATTTCCACAAAACAGAATTTTAAGAAACCTCCAGTCTTCTAGAGGGCACTCATGTGCTTTTCCTTTCATCCCGGTTCAGGTTGAAGAGCAAACCAAAGAGCCCAATAAGAACCCTTTACTCAGGAAGAAACGGGCTCTGATCTCCGAGCCAGCCCTCCTTCGAACTGTGCAACAGATCCCAGGAGTCGGGAAAGTTAAAGCTCCTCTCCTGCTCCAGAGGTTTCCAAGTATCCAGCAACTGAGTAATGCTTCCATCCAAGAACTGGAGCCGGTGGTTGGACAGTCAGTGGCCCAGCACATTCATGCGTTCTTCACCCAGTCCAGGTGATGGCTCTTCCCATGGCATCTCCTTTACACGACGAACCACAGGATCTTTTTTTCTTTCTCATTAAGAAACAATATTTCCTCTCACAGAAACTAGGGAAGGATGAAGTGAGGCCTGAATGGCACCTGCCAGTTGTCCTGCCCTGCTTTCTGGGCTCAGGTATCTACTTCAGGTAGTGTGCCCCAGATGGCACTGCCCGCACCCTGCTAGCATGAAGAGGGCTGGTGGACACCTTCCTAAGGGAGTCGGTTTAAACAGGGACTCTCAAGATTCAGCAAAAAGCCAGCTTGGGCAGATTTTAATGTGTGACCTTCACCTGTATCTATCATGGAAGGTGGTGGATGTGACCGTCTAAAGGAAACCAACCTACAATGAATGAAGCACTGTGTACCATAAGCCCCTTGTTCCTTCTGGCAGAGCCACTGTTCTTCAGGTCTGGTCTTAATACACCTGTGCTTTGAGGGTGGCTGCCAGTGTAAACAAACAATTGTCCTGCCTTTTATCTTCCTTCCTTCCTTTCTCCCTCCATCCCTCCCTTCCGGGTAGCTGCACAGTTTGTTTGTAATCACTGAGCATGACTTCTGAACACAGAAAGCCTGGAGTCCAGAGTTCCCATTTTAAAATAAAAAGCCAATGTGTGCGAGGGAGGGAAAGAATGTGTTTGTAAATGTATCGCCCAACAATGGGAAGAGAAAAGGGAAAATGGCAGGTGCAGCTGCATCCAGAGAGGAGAGCCTGGGGATCAAAATGTACAACTGCTCATTCAAAAAATAAATACAGTGAAAGAGGCTGTATGTTTTCAGGGATACTAAGATAACTTGAGAGCTAAGTCCTGTTTTGTGGAATGTTAGTAATTTTTAAAAATCAAATACAATAAAAACATTTTGTGCATCAGGGTAAAAATGATTTGAAAGAGGAGGGAATTAAAGTGAAATCAAAGTGGAAACCATTAACTCAGGCAAATGAATGCATTTATGTAAATATTTATACAAAAATAGCCCTAAGAGCAATGGATACACTTTCCCAAATATGGTTGCTTCCCTTTTGATATTACACACTAGAAAATATTTCAGTTTGTTAATTCTCAAAATTACATGTCAATGATATATTTTTAAAAGCTATATAACTTGTACTATGCCAACAGTGAATCTTATTAGAGTCACAGTGTCATCCAACGTATAGCAAGAGAAGTCAGTTGGTAAGAATGTCATTTTAAAAAGTCAAATAGAGCTCTAAACTTGAATCATTTACATCCTGACCTTATACAATGTTTTTAACCCTTCTTAAAGACTCTTAAAATATACAACTATGTACTTTCTACTTTAAACAAAATGAAAAATGTTTTGAGTATCAAACAGTATATTATCTACCTTGTAGACAGCATCTTCATCTAACACTGCCACTGTGTTAGCGACTTTTAAACGACATAAAATAGAAGAAAAGTTGCTCCTAAATGGTTGTTTATAAGTCATGACAAATTTGGCACTAGACTTTATCTGGAAACAGCATTCATATTATTTAGAAATAATAGTAAAATCTTGGTGTTTTAGGTTAATGAATTCCCCTTAGGAAGGAGCTCTTCGGGACAGTTTTTAGTAACACTAATTTAAGCCTATCATTATTGTCCCTTGCCCTGCCTTAATTTGGGGTCATCTGAATTCTGAGGTAAGGAATTATCCATCTATCACCCAAGTCTGGAAACCTACAAATAGGACCAGTATAGGAAATCCTAATTTAACTCTGATAGTAAGTAGCTAAGAGTCTTAATTATAGTCGTTAAAAACAGCCATATGTCCACATTATTCTATTTACAATACTTTATATAATAAATAACTTGCAGCAATATGGTGAGACTCCCCTAATAAGTTTGTTTTCCACAAATTTCTAGAGGTTTCTTGTTACTGTCATTCATAAAAACATATCAATTGTAGGTTTACGCTGTGAGAAAATAGGATTTGAGAATATTTAGAAATTTTCCGCTGTGGCACAAATACGAAGGCCCAGTCAGCACGGGAAACGCTTTTGTTTCCTCACGTTAGTACAAAGAACTGTCGGAGGTGAGAAGGCTGAACGGAGAGGGGAGCTTCTTCTTGACCGGAGGCCCCACAACCCTGACCCCAACCGATGGGAGGCACAAGGTGCTCGCCGACTTCTGTCTGTTCTTGTTGGTGTTCCAACTCAAAAAGGACAGCTTTTTCGAGATTCTCTTGGTTTTATCAGTGTTTTCCTCATCATCTGGGGCTAAACAGATCATGGAGTAAGTTTTCTGCATTCCCACAGAGTACGTGGCACATTTACTATGCTGCACACAGAAAAGGAGAGAGAAAGGGGTCAGAGAAACGGCTGCGAAGTGGGAGACTCAGATTCTGCACTCATAGCATCCTCTTTAAAATTACGTTGACATAATTCTGAAACTCAGTGACAAATGCTTATGTAGAATTAGGTTCTTGGCAACAAGGACAACTCTTAAGGAATATACTCAGTAGTAGTAACTTAGGCTAGAGACCGCTACCTTTTAAGGTTATTACATTTGAAAACGTAATATATACTCGTGGTCAATGATATGAAAATGCATGAGGTGAACAGCAGGTGTCCCTCCTACCTGGGCTTTCAGGCTCTTCCCCTGAGGTAACCGCTATCTTACACTTTTAGAGATAACATTCATATACAGGTATTGATATGTGTGTAAGTATAAATCACCATTTGTCTCTCCTTAGGAACACACTACACACACTTGTCCGCACCCTGCTTTCTTCACTTAATGTATCCTGGATTTCAGTGCACACCAACAGATACAGATCAACTTCATTCCCTTTAAAGACAGTACAGGGTCCATGTGATGAGGATATTAAATTTTCCCAATTTTTTAAACGTGAAATAAACATAACGTCAAATTTACCATTTTAACCATTAAGTTCTGTTTATTTCACCAGTTTAAAGACATGCCCTCCCATGTGCCTGGACCCTCTCACTCCCTCTCTCCTCCAGGTATCCCCTCCTTTCTGCTCTCCTGTCTCCTAAACCTTTCCCATCTGCACACAAGCTAACTGTGCTATCAACACACCTTTGAAAAACTCTCCTTTACCCCTACGTCCCCTCCCAGCTACCACCGCAATATCTCTGCTCCCTTTCACAAGTCTTCCCTTTCTCTCATTCACTTGTTTCCTGTCCTCATCCAGCATGCTCCCCACTACCCAGTCCCCAAATCTTCCTGGGGCACCTCTCTGACACTCTCAGGGCCTTATGGAGCACAGCTGGAAACTACTGCACTCGTCTAAATCTTAGATTATACAGATGAGGACCATGAAGCCTGCTGAAGGTCAAACAGCTTATTAACAGCAGGCAGGGCCTGATTCCAGGTCTTTGATTCCAAGCCTGGGGTTCTTTCCACGACATCAGTGTTAGTCAGAATGGTGGTAGTCTCCATTTTCCAGAGGCTCAGAGCAAGTCTCTGACGCCCAAGGTCACGGAACTGGTGAAAGCCAGGATTCAAATGCAGGCAGTCTGAATACAGAACCCTTGCTTTCATCCCTACGTCAGATTCTTCATTGGCCTGGTTCAATCAGAAATGTGACAGGACTAACAGATAAGCCTTTCAGCCTCTTTAGGGGCAGGGCTGCTCTCTAAAGCTGCAGGTCCTCCGGCTATGCCTAACAGACTCCAGCCCTCAGGCCAGAGCCCAGCACTTTTATATATCCTCTTGGACAAACTTCTTTTGTTTCTGGTTGAGACCTTGATCACTAGTCTAACAGTTCTACGGATTCCACCCCTAAAAGTGCCATTTTTCATGATCCCTTCTCCCAAGATGCTCTGAGTCCCTTGACTCCTTTATCTTCTTTTTTCTAATTGAGTTATAATTCACATACCATAAAATTCACCATTTTAATACAATCCAGTGGGTTTTAGTATAGTCACAGGGTTGTGCAACCCCTAATATTACCGAATTTCAGAACATTCCCACCCCCCTCCAGAAGAAACCCTGGGGAATTCCCTGGCGGTCTGGTGGTTAGAACTCCGTGCTTCCACTGCAGGGGGCGTGGGTTCTATACCTGGTCAGGGAACTAAGAGCCTGCAAGCTGTGCGGTGCAGCCAAAAAAGAAGGGGAAAAAAAAAAAAAGAAATCCTGTCCCATCAGCAGTTACACTCCCCATTCCCCGACGCCCCAGCCCCTGGCAACCAACCACTAACCTACGTTCTGTTTCTATGGGTTTGCCTATTTCTTACCAATGGAATCACACAATCATTCACTCTCCAACCCTCTCTAAGTCTGAGTTCTGTTGCCATTTCCCCATGAAAAATGTCCTTTTGTCCTGCTGCCAAATATAATAGACATGGCTCTGCTTCCCTCATTCTCCACGTCTTAACTGTGTTCAGCACAAACCACCGCTCTTTCCGGGCAGGATTTTCTTCTCTTGGTTTCAGAAGCCCCTTTTTATCCCACCTGTCTGCACTCCCCTTGGCACCTACTTCTAACTGACCTCCAGACGCCTGTGGTGTCTCTCGGAGTTGAGTCCTCCACCCTCAACCCCTCGAGGGTACTTTCGTTTAGTATCTTACAGCTTTAAATATCATCTCTGTGCTGATAATCCTCAAATATTTAGTTCTAGGCTGACATTTGCCTTGAACTGAAGATCTGAACATCCAGCTGCCTACTTTACCTTTACATCCAGATGCCTAATGGCACACGAACCACACACAACACTTGCTTTTCTCTCTCCTCGGCCTCCCTCACCCTTGCCCCGTCTCCCGTCATTAAGAAAAATGATGCAGTAGTTCAAGCCAAAAGCTGTGCAGTCCTCTCTCTTTCCCGCATCTTTTTTTTTTTTTTTTTTTGTGTACGCGGGCCTCTCACTGTTGTGGCCTCTCCCGTTGCGGAGCACAGGCTCCGGACGCGCAGGCTCAGCGGCCATGGCTCACGAACCCAGCCGCTCTGCGGCATGTGGGATCCTCCCGGACCGGGGCACGAACCCGTGTCCCCTGCATCGGCAGGCGGACTCTCAACCACTGCGCCATCAGGGAAGCCCTCCCGCATCTTTTTTATACAAGTCATCTACAAATCCATCAGCTCCATATCCAAATTACGTCTCAGGTGCACCCCACCTCTCTACACCTCCATTGTCACCCCCTAGTGGGATGGTGCTAACATCACTGGCCTGGGTGACTGCCACAGCCAGCTTGCTCTGCGGCCACCCGGCTGGCCTCCAGACAGCAAGACGGCCTTCTAAAATAAACATCATGCCACGTCACTCCCCGTCTCAAAAGGTTTCAAACTCCCTCCACTGCCGATGAAGCCCTGCCTCCCTCCCACCGCATTTCCCTCCACTCTGGCCCTTGTCAAGATGCTCGGGCCGAAAGGCCTTCTTTTAGTTCCTCTAGCAGGTGAAGCTCATTCCTGCCACAGGGTCTGGTCTCTGCACCTGTTGGTGCCCCTGCCCACGTGCTCTTGTACCTCTTCACATGGCTGGTTCCTCCTGTGACTCAAGCCTCAGGGCAAGCCCTGCTCAGGAGCCCCTCCCAGCTCCAGTCATTCTAGCACATTACACATTTTATTTCCTTTACAGCACGTACCCAAAATCACAACCACTTATTGCATATTTAGTGCCAGCTTTGTGGGGGCAGGGACCTTATCTGTCTAATTCCAGCTGTAGCTCCAACACCTGAGAAGGGCCTGGCACACAGTTGATGCCCAATCGATATTTGTTGAATGAATAAACACATACTGTTCCAGAGGGAAGCGTCCAAGGTACATAATTGAATGCAGCAAGCACAGAAGAGTGCGTATGCCACAATTCCTCCGACTTGGGGAAACAAAGGGATGTAACTGTGCACATGGACTTGCACAGGCTCAGACGCTTCCCAAGATCTCCCAGGAAACAGCTAACACTGTCCCG